AGAGAGAGAGAGAGAGAGAGAGAGAGAGAGAGAGAGAGAGAGAGAGAGAGAGAGGAGATTTTCTTTCTTTTTTTAATTGGAAAAGTATTTTTAGTAAATAAATAAACTGAAAAAGAAAAAGATAAGGGCAAAATCGTCATTATAAAAAAGATCAAAAGAAGTTGGACCAAAATCGCAACAAAATGAAAAGTTTGGACATCTGGTGCTAGTCCAAACTTTTTTGGACCAAAGTGACAATTTTCATCTAACCATAGAGACCATTTGTGCAGTATCATAAATATAGAGTTTAATTAGTAGAGTGGTGTATTTGACAATATATATAAGTTATAAAAATGGAATATTTTAGGAATATACTTTTTGGGTAAAAAATGAAGTAGAAAATGGAGTAGGGTTGAAGGTGAAACACTATTTACTCCACTTTTTACTCTATTTATGGGGTAAAAAATGGAGATGGGTAGGACTCCATTTTTTACTTCATTTATGGGGTAAAAAATGGAGATTGGTAGGACATCGTTTTTTTTTTTTTTTTTTTTTTTCGTTTTTTTTAGATGCCATAGATGGATATTTCTTAACTTGCCGGGTAATGTGTGGTCTGTGTTTAGTCCTTCTAGACCTGGATCATACAAATAAATTTACCTAAACGATTTAAGATAGCTCAAATTTTAGCTTCTGATCTTCATACAATTAGAGAAAAATGGAGTGCTGTTATAGTCCCACAACAAACCCATCATTCTCGTCCTTCAAGTTCCTTGATTGTGAGGTAATATCCCATATTTCTACTTTGAAGCTCATTCACTTCCATCCCTTGTATATTTAACTGTGTTTTTGTGTACGCGTTGTGGATTATTTTTTATTTTCCTACATAAGTACTGTTCCTCATGAGGTAGAGGCAGGTTACCTCTCTATGTGAATTATGGCTTCAGCCCCTAGCAAAGAAGACGATCAACTCTGCTCGATGGCCATTTACATATGAAGTGTCATTATTTAAAATTCGAATTGCAGCAAAATCAGTTGATAATTTGAACTATACCAGCTCCGGTTGTTTGGGACTTTGAATTGTATATATCCGAATTGGTAAATGGGTTGAAATTTTTACAAAGATTCACCAACTCAAATTGAATTTTGTTTGTTATTATTTTCAATGGTTTGATACCTTAACGTTTCTGGGGTTTTCTCATTTATGATGCGAGAAATGATTTTTCTAGTTTTGAAATTGTTTTTGGTTTATTGATTCAGTTTACCTAAAGCTTAGATTAAGTTTGAGTGTGAAGCATTTGTGAGGGCTATAACAAATGTTGAAAATGGTGATTTGCAGAGCTTTTCATCTACAAGATTTTCTAGGAGTAGGTTGTCATCACCAAGACTTTCTAATCCATTTCTTAAAGTAAATGACAGAATTAACCCCATCTCTCATCAACATAATATATATTATTCGAGAACCTACAAGAAGACCATATACGCAGAATCTCGAAATCAAGGTTGGGACTTTGGCAGATTTGTGAAGACATTGTACTTCTTTAATGGACCTCCATCACCTATTAAGGTTCAGTTCCTTCCTTGCTGCTTTTTTCATGGTCATGTTTGGTTTTTAGGGCAAAGTACATAAAAAACCACCATACTTTGTCACTTTTACGGATTAAGCACTTATATCTAATTTAAATATAATTAATGAATTTGTTATTTATAGAAATAAAAAGTTATACATAATAAAATCTCGTTAAAAGCCAAAAAAAGATTAAAACTATTTTCTTTTTCTAGTTATTTTTAGAAAATGAATTATAATTTAATTAAAATGGTGAAATTAAAAAACAAATATATTTGTGATTGAATATTACATTCATAAAAATGGGTTATATTGCAATTTTTCCTTGATAAGTTTTTTACAATTTTGTTTCGTGGACAGATCTTCGAAAGTGTAATTGCGAGTTTCTCGAGTCCATCAGGTAGCGAAGCTGAAAAGTCAATGGATGCGTCTGGAATAATTTTAGTGGCGGGTGCTACTGGTGGTGTTGGGAGAAGAGTAGTTGATGTCTTGCGCAAGAAAGGCTTGCCCGTTAGAGTACTGGTACATTGTTTTGTGATTTATTTTCCATAAATTTCAGAAATAGCAACCTACTTTACTCTTTTTACTGATGCAGACCATCTACTTTATGCTTACACATAATAGCAACGTACTTACAGTTACACCCATTATATCAACATGTACTTTTATTGTGTGCCCAATGCCCATGATATAGCAATGTGCTTGCTTTTCCTTTACACATAATAGTAACAAAGTTACAGTAACAGAAACTTACCCACAATTGCGTTTACTAAATAATAGCAATATGTATGTAACATGCAACCTGTAAGATGGTTACAAGTTTCTGATTATATGTTGGTATCATCAGTAAAGAATATATGGTAAAAAATGAAGTCCATTGCTGAGTAAAGTGCGTTGTTGTTCCCTTCTATTTGCTCTTTATTTTATATAATATTAGATCTTGTTTCTTTTGTTGTGTTCATGAACCTATTTGCTTTTTTTCAGGTCAGAAATAAAGAGAAAGCAGAAAAAATGCTAGGCCCGGATATCGATCTGGTTAGTTGTTTCACAAGATTTTGAATTTTTTTTATAAAAAATCGCAGCTTTTTATTAAAATTCGCTGAAAAAAAAAATAAAAAATCAAAATTTTTTTTTTATTATAAAAAAAAAAGTTTTTTTTTCAAAATTTTTTTTCAGCGAATTTCTTTAAAAACCTGCGACTTTTTCATAAAAAATGTCAAAAAAA